ACGTTAGATGATATATTTATGAATAATCCTTCTCCTCTGCTCACTAAATTATATCATTATACACATTTCCTAATGGTAAATAGATGGTTGAGGACCGGGCCTCTGATGAAATATGCGGGTATGACCTGCAGTGTTAACCTTCATAGTGGAAGAAATGGCAAGATTATAAACAGTCGTGAACACGTCTAATACCGCCATACATGTCACGTAATTGTTAGTTAGTGGGTTATTATAGCCCTATATATCATAGAGCTCACTTATTCTATCCATACTGCTGTGGTGTCCACAGCATTGGCACAGAGAAATTCAACGGTTGCCAGAACAAAGGAAATTCTAGTGTAAATATCAGTGATTATTCCCTAACTTGCTGTGTGGTATATGTGTACAGGACAATACTAAGAGTGGTACTGGGAGTCCTGACGCACTGTGCTCTAATATGTAGTTTATGACACCAAATCTAATCTAGATTGTATAAAACACTTCCCTTTGGGTTAGTTCTTTCACACTGGGTAGTATATTATAGGCAGGTGCATATTCCTGGTTTTACGACTGACTTTCCGTGTGGTAACATCTGAGAATATTTCCATTCTTAATAATTTGTGATATTGGCAGTTTTATTTCAGGTATTTTTATCCGACTGAAACAACAATTTCAACTGTAAATTGCTTAAATCAACTGACTGCAGCCAAGGAATCAAACGTTGGAAGGGGCGGAATTGATGGTCCTCTGTAGCTGACAAATCGACTGAGTAATTTAATATCAGTGTTGCCATGGAAACCTTTTAATAATTTTTATGAAGAGTGACTTCATGTTTCGAATACTAGTGTTTTCGACACAAGATATGTTGGACATGCTACTTTTGTGTCAAGTATATGCCTTGGACTAAGAAATTCTTTGGATGAAAATATTTTTTTGCGATAGATAAACAATGACTTAATTGCGTGACTTTACGCCGGGGTAACGTACCACGTGTACACTCGATTCACAAATTTCGTCTTTAGGAATCAGAATTTTCAATTTTCCAGAAAGAGAAAGTTTGAGTTTGTTTTAATGCTTACTGAATTCTGTACTGATTGTCTTCCGTTTTGCAGTAAAGGTGTGTTATTTTAGGGACTGGTGATTTACTGTAGGAAGGGATAAATCAGAGGAAATCTGTGGTCACTCAAAAATGTAACCGTCTTATAAAGGGGGCTGATAAAAAGAGTAAACACAGATATTCGCGGTCAAGAAAAATATATAGTGCGTTTGCATGCGTTTTGTCTTTTCAGTAGGGTCGTGAGAAAATAAAAGACATGGGGCGGGTCGTCCAAAATATGGCCATCATAATGGAAGGGTCATTTGCTCGCTGTACATTAGTGTATTAAAGCTGAGACACCCTCTCCCTCCCTTGTGATAGCACGATCAGTCTCCTACTACAGTGATGGAAGGATAGATTACTGTTAATTACTCTTGATGCAGTAGCACCGGGGTGGGGAAAACTGGTTAATGCTCTGAGTTCTTGTTGATGTAATGCATGTCCACTGATGACACCCTTGTGTCTAAATGTTTGTTACTGCTGTCGAGCAATGGCCCTCTGTGAGGTATTAAAGAGTTCCCCTGTCAAAGAGCCTGAAGTGACTGTGCGGTCGGCTGATTTTCAGGGAGTGCTTGTTGTCATTACGAACGAGTGATAAATGTTTTTATGAATACTCTTTGTTGTTTTAAGCCGTAGGAATATTACGCATTCATCACAAATGCATGGATGTTATTGAGTGAGCGGGAGAGTTTTTATTCCGCCCTTAGGAGTGAGTAGGTTAGTGAGAGTGAAAGTGCGTGAGTGAGTTTAGTTTTACGCAACACTCAGCAATATTCCAACTACATGGCAGCGGTCTGTAAATGATCGAATCTGCATCAGACAATCCAGTGATCAACAGCATGAACATCGATCTACGCAAATGAGATATGATGACATGTGTCAATCAAGTCTGCGAGCCTGACCACTCGATCCCCTTACTCGCCTCTTGCGACAACCAGAGGTTACAGCGAGGGACACAAGATTTGGGTACACACTGCACCATGGCTGGGAATCGAACTACATTTTCAGTTAGAGAAGCAAACACTTTAACTACCAAGTCACACAGCAAGACAGAATTCAGTCGGCACCTGATAACCTAGAGGCTGCTATTGGGGGCAACTTCCTGCGCCGCCAGGAAGTACTGAACCAAGTCATCCAGCTGGACAGAATTGAGTCGGCACCTGATAACCTAGAGGCTGCTATTGAGGGCAACTTCCTGCGCCGCCAGGAAGTACTGAACCAAGTCATCCAGCTGGACAGAATTGAGTCGGGACCTGATGACCTAGAGGCTGCTATTGAGGGCAACTTCCTGCGCCGCCAGGAAGTACTGAACCAAGTCATCCAGCTGGACCACTCATTCCAACTTTGTCAACGAGGTACCGGGAGGCCAATGGCAAGATTTTATCAACCACGAGCGTGATGTACCAGGTTAGCATAGAGAAGATGCTGCGTGATATGGGGAAGATGTTGGGTGATAGAAAGCATATAGCAATTCCTCATAACTAAAGAAAGGTTGGACCTGTTAATACTATATTAGACTGTCTTGTTAGATGAAAGGTTGATGACCTGTTACTGAGATACGCCGCTTTAAATATTCCAGCAACATCACTGACACCAGAAATGGGCTTGTTGTACCCATGGTCCTGACGAGCCAACGCTTTAAAGTCCTACCCCCACCGCCCCTATGATGTGTAAGAAAGTCAAACTGTTGTGCAATATCACCTGTCGATATTCCAGATACCTTCATCCTAACAACTTCACATGAAATGTTTGGATATATGCGGCACATCAGCAGACAAACGAGGGTGGGATCTGTTGTCCAGTGATGGACAACTTTATATCAATTTAGTTTTACAAAACCACCAAAGGATTTACGATGACATGATTTTTAACCAAAGACAAACTGCCATACCTCACCATGCACCTTTGGCACATCCCATAAGGCAGCCCCATTATGAGCCCATGCAACACAAGGTGCCCTGCAAAATGTGCCCATGGCTCAAACGGTGCCACTGGATTGCCCACAAATACCCATCACATCTACTCGGTGCCACTGGATTGCCCACAAATACCCATCACATCTACTCGGTGCCACTGGATTGCCCACAAATACCCATCACATCTACTAAGAGGCCCTGCCAAATGCCAACCTTCGACACTACCAGAGTTGGTGTCCAATCTCAACAGTCACATCTGTGCCCTCGGGCACACCTTTCCCTGCATCACCCCCTTCCTGGCAGAGGTGGCACATACACTTGGTAGCAATGAACATACTGCTTAACAAAGTCCAAGTGAAAATGTCAGCTTAAGCCACATCAGCACTCAGCCAACTTGTGCAGCCGAGGGGGGCGGTGGGGTAGCCTAGTGGTTAAAGCGTTGGCTCGTCATGCCGCCGAAGACACGGGTTCGATTCCCCACATGAGTACAATGTGTGAAGCCCATTTCTGGTGTCCCCCGCCGTGATATTGCTGGAATATTGCTAAAAGCGTCGTAAACCTAAGCTCAGTCAGTCAGTCAGTGTGCAGCCGAATCCAGGACTGCCTGCTTACAGTGTTTAATTTCTACTGTGTGAGACATCAGCGGCTATTGCTCCGTCAGTGACTACATCTGGTACACGGAATCAGGACAGACCCTGATCAACTTAGTTCTTCTTGGTAATTCTGATTTGCATGAACAAACATTCCCAGAATTCATCTCCTTCCTCATCTAATGAATGAATAAATGAATGAGGCCTGTAAATATTGCCTTGGTCCAGAAAAAAACTGTATTCTTGCACAGATACAGCAAACTGTATCAAGTCTGTGCTGTCTAAACAACCAACTAATTCTCAATTCAATATTCTTAATGACAGACCAAGATGGATCTGATCAATTGGGTCAGGTTCTATCAGGCGACGAGTCCTACAAAAGGTCTTAAAAGACAGAACCTGTCACCCTGTCTGGCTCACTGCATTAAGGGGATAAGACAAGGACGGGTGAGATCACATTCAGTATACTGTGTCTGAGAACGGTATCATGTTGAATTGCTGCATGGAATCATGGACCCATGCACTCATCCCTATACAAGTGCAACAAGCTTGAAAGTAATGTTAAACCCTATTTCACCTCACATGACGACAATGAGGATACGTTCTTGCCTAGAATGCCACTGTAATTAGGGCAATTTTGGCACGGAAGCTCCAGCTGATCCTAGGACAGACAACTCCTAGCCGATGTACTGACCCTTATAACATCTCTGTCTTCCTGCTCAAATTGGGATCAAGGAGTGTCTTATGGTGTTGGCAGTAACAATGCAGGCACTACCATTGTGTCAGTTGGAGGCACACAGAATCTGAGTGGACTCATGGGATTTGGGGGCACATAATACCACCAGCCCTTAACTGTCTGTGCCGAGCTGTACCATGGCAAGGACTGTCATTTGCTGAGCTTACAAGACAGAAAGGAATTTCAACAGACTGTAGCTTGAGGCTACCTGCTGAAGTCATGTCAATAGGGCACTTTCCCCTCAAACCATTGTACTTCTGGAATCTACTGGCTGAAGTCAAGCCATCAGGGCACCTGCCTCCAAAGCCATCGTATTTCAGCAATATTCTGGGTAAAGTCAAACCATCAGAGCACTTTCCTCCAAAACCACTATACTCCAGGTATATTCTGGCTTAAGTCAAATAATCAGACCACTTTCCCCTCAAACAATTGTTTTTCATGAATATTCAGGCTGAAGTTAAACCACCAGAGCACCTCCCTCCAAAACCACTATACTCCAGGAATATTCTCCAAGTGGGAAATTATCAGAGCACTTTCCCTAAGCCCATCGTATTTCAGGAATCTTTTGGCTGAAGTCATGAAGTGAGCACACTTCCTCCAACCCAGAGGGTAAAGTAGACATTTCAGAGTATAATCCATGGGCCTCGGAGTGAGGACGTCAAACATGAAAAACAAACATGGTCTACAAAATGAATGATTTTATTATCCCCTACAACTTTCACCTATTGTAGGTAATGGAGCAGCAGTTGCAAGGCAATGTGGCATTCCCTTCATACACGCAGCAGCGTACAGCCATCCCTTCATACACGCAGCAGCGTACAGCCATCTCTTCATACACGCAGCAGCGTACAGCCATCTCTTCATACACGCAGCAGCGTACAGCCATCTCTTCATATAGTCACAATGTATATCTTTTTTTCTCATTGTTTAAAACCATTAACCACAAATATAGATGTGGGGTACCTAAATGAAACTACTGAAGGATCACAAACAAACAGACTCTGGTTTAACAGTAGCAAACCAAACTGGTTCATTTGCTGAAGACATAATTATTCTGAGCACAATAAAAAAACAATTATGGTAAATGTTAGTTCTGAATGATGTGTAACACTAGAGGGACATCAGTCTCAAATCTTCACCAATTATTAATTAACTACATATGTCTATTACAAGTGAAATAAATTTTGCTTTAGTGAAGGACTAATTTAAGAAAAAACGAATTTCTATGGCTGAGTATGGCAACAATGTACAACATCCTCCCATTGTGCTTCAGTTCAAATGTCTGGAGAAACCCACAGCTATCCCTGCTCTTGTAAACACCATGAGAGGATTATGAAAGATGGAATATGGATGAAACATGAGACATGAAACAGGAAATGGAGATGATAAGTGATACAGCTTGATGGCCGCCTTTCACAAAACGTCCGGGTCTTACACAGACATCATCAATACTTGAGCAGCTGATCTGCATTCAGTGTCTCTTGGTATAGATGACAATCTGTACACATCAAACAACAAGTCGATAACTGACGTATCGCCCGGCTGTCTCACTGGGCCGGATGATCTTCACAACCTGGAAGGGGAAAATATGAATATTGTTACAATACTGGTCATGCTCAACTGAAGATCATATGAATACTGTTACAACACTATTTACACTGAAAAAGACAAAATCTAGTCTTTCAAATCTACATTTTGTTTTCAAGCATAACAGACACATTACACAGAATTTGTCAGTTGTTGCTTTGTCAGCCATATTCAATTTTTTAAATGAAATCCGTTATTTTTGTTGAAACATGTTGTGTGCAATTGATGGGGAATGTTCAGTGCACTGCACAAAGGTGCGTTGCATGAATGGACGACAGACAAAAACCAGATGACACCAATCTACTCGAATGTCATGTATTTTCTGAATGTATGTAACAGAAAAGTCTTTCTCCTTTTTTCAAAAACTGAAGTTGACAGTTCAAATGAAGAAAAAGAAAAACCTTTTCAATTATCCTTTTTGTCTTTTGTGAAACCATATAGCTGGTCGGTGTTAAAAAATATATATTTGGAACCAAATTGATGGAACAGAAAGTGGAACTGTCATTCCATGGCACTCATTCTCATCGTGCCTCCCCCTTGCATTACTCCACTTGCTACGGCTGATATCATCATATATGGTGGTACCATCTTCCAACATGGAAAAAAGTGCGTCTCCGATACAAATGTACATTGAGTTTGATGTGTTTTCCACTCAGCAAAGACGAGTAACACCAGAAATATGATGCCAACAAATCCACGCTAAAGTGCACAATGTCATGCTGTTATTCCTCTAGTTATTAATATTTGCTTTTATATCAATATACATTATATTATCTCAGGACTCAATTGATCTATTTATCTATTCTGCTTTCTTGACAGGAAATGAACACATTGAGGTGAGGTGAGGTGAGGTGAGGTGAGGTGAGGTGAGGTGAAATTGGGTTTTACGTCATGCTCGAGAATATTTCGCTCATATGACGACGTGCATGCATGTGTATGTGTATGTGCGGCTGCTTGTACTAGCCCAGACTTAAGCTGGTTTTATAGTGCTAGCCCACTGAGATACCATGCCGCAGTGAAGCATGAATACCCCACTCAGACACATTATACTGACTCCGAGCTGACCAGTCCTTGTTGTACCCATTAATGCCGAGCGCCAGGCAGGGACCAACAAGTACCATATTTTAACGTTCTTTTGGTATGACGCGGTCAGGGATCGAACCCGCGACCTTCCGCTCTCCGGGCGGACGCTCTAACCACTACACCACGGAGGCGGTATGAACACATTGAACACGAACACCAGTGTTATTGGTCATGCCAGCGTTTTTCACAGTTTGACAAACATGTCAACACAATCTTCATGACCAAAATATTGCAAGAAGGTGGGAAGCCTAAACTGACTCCCCAAACTCAACTGTCACATTTGCTGTGCTTGTTGTCATCAATATTTTAATATAGGCATATAAATTATTATTCCTGGTAAAATAATGGTTTGAGATACAATCACTTTAGATCCATGCATCAAGTTATCTTACTGGGGTATTTCTTAACTGAATATCTGGTCAATATGGTAGAAAAATGTATGCCGTGCTGAACGCTATTTCCAGCTCTGTTTAAGAGAAAATACACATGGCAATCTGATGCTTTGCATATAAAACAATATCTAGCAGGACAGGGAATACAATTTAAATGTTAATGAGCAAAAACCATTTCACATTTTTATTTAATATGTTTGTCATACCATGCCAACTGAAACTGGTTTTTACTGCACACAAAACTTTAAAAATATATTTTATTTTAAAACACTGCACCCCGTCATTATCATCTTCACTTCATTATAATGGATTGAGCTCATATGTACTCCTAACCATGCTAAAAGTCTACACATTTTTCAGACAATTCATGCACTGCTGAAAGAATAAATATAAACTGGTCACAGACACATAGCTCCACCGGGTGTCGTAAAAGGAGAGCAAGAGTTATCATTTGTGGGGATAGGCACGAGAACAAATTGTGACATGCTTTCTTGCATGATGGGTTTTCAGACTTCCTAGTAATGAAAAACACTTTCAAATGACAATGTTTTTTTCATTTTTCTTGATTTTACTGGCTGTAGTATGCTTAAACAAATAATAAAATAAAAAAATCTACTTAATCACAACCACAACCGAAGAGTACGCTGTATTGCATCTTCTTTGAGTGGCATTTTAGAAGTTGGGACGTACAATATAGAACAAACCTTATGGATAACAACTTGTTTTATTTCATGAGTGAGATGTTTTGATACAGATTCTTGTACCATTTCTGCTTGACAACGGCACAAGAATCTGAAATGAAATGTTGCACTCACAAAATAAAAGAAGTTGTTATCCATAAAGTTTGTTCTATATTGTATTGCATCTGTTGAGGGAACAATTCCCTGTCATATATGAGCAACTGGAAATACCTGCCCAATATGCAGGTGCAATGAAAAAGATTCATTATTTTTTTAATTTCATTATGTATGCATCTAAGGATTATTTAATATTACTTAGTAAATTAATTATATATTTTTGATAATTGATTGAACTCTATCAGCGTGAAGGAGTCATGTAGGACGAAACTGACACAAGTACTGCTAAACCGGTTCCTCATCATCCATCATGGTTTATGCATAGCGCTGTCATTATTGTAATGATTAGAGTACTTACATGGTGATGTAGGCATGGGCATAGACGTAGGCGTGGGTATTGACATGGACATGAGCATGAACGTGCATGTGCATATGCTTCTGTGTGTGCGTGTGGTTACTTGTACTCAGTAGTCAGATGTAATATAGCTTGTTTTCATCATGCTATTCATGGGCAGATCCAGGAATATTTGAAGGGTGGTGGGGGTGTGTGGGTTGTTCCCCTGAACCCCCCATTGGCTCCGCCAACGCACAAAAATATCTTTAATGTGGTCTTAAGTCATTTTTAAAAATGAACCTTCCCTCTGGAACTGCCGATGCTTTTCCACTTAGTTACCATGCCACCGTTTACCATGGAAACCCCAGACTCTACACACTGTCTGAGCCAGCTAGTCCTTGTTTTATCCCTTAATGCCAAGCGCTAGACAGGGTAAGAACAGGTCCTATCTTTTAACATTCATGATGTGCCTCAGGACCTGACAGCACTGACCGTCTGCTCTCCAGACAGACGCTCTATCCACTTGAGCAGGGGACATTTGGGGCTAGGAAATACTTCCTTACCTTGAATATATACTATCAGATAGTGTATCAGGAATTACAAGGGGTTATACCATCTTTCCTATCACTAACATAAAGGTCTTACATACATCAGAAAGTAAGAGTCAACACAAAATGTGGATCAACTAACTCAGCTTGTTCTTGACTAGAGTGGGATAGCCTTGTGGTTAAAGTATTCGCTCGTCATGCCAAAGACCCGGGTTCGATTCCCCACATGGGCATAATGTGTGAAGCCCATTTCTGGTGTCGCTCGCCGTGATATTGCTGGAATATTGCTAAAAGCAGCGTAAAACTAAAGACACTCACTCACTCTTGACTAGTGTTTACAATGTCACAGAAATGAATGCATAGAGGATTCTCGTAAGAGAAACATAGCTTCCTGAGCAACCGTTCCTGTGTACAAGGCAGCCACGTCATTCTGGTATGCAGGTTTTGGGTCTATTGTGAGAGTGTTTGGCCAAATGTGCCCTTGTGTCACAGTGGCAGGCAAAAACAAATTGTATTAGTACACAGATTCCAAATTTTTAAGTAACCAAGGCCAGACCAATTTTATTTCTTGTCTTACGGATTTGCCGGTCGTATTTTTGCAAGAATTTTTTTTTTTTTAATTCCCTGCTCAAAAAATAAAATCCTAATGTTAATGTGACATAAGTGAAATACTCTTGAAATCAGTGTGAAACCTAAACTCATAAAACTTGATATAAACAAACCAAGAGAGTTAACATGGAAACTCATGTAGGTTTTTGCTTTGACTTGTGATTTTTAAAAAAAACATTTTCCATCGTGCCTTTAGGTTTTCTGAGGACAAAAATCCATAAAACAAGAAATAAAACTGGTCTGGCCTAATGGTGTCTGTAAAAAAACTGCTCTATATATCTTTTGTTCTCTATATTTTTCCAGTAACTTAACTCCAAACTGCCCTTTAATGACTCAGGAATTTTGTGTAGTTTTTCATTTAGCCATTGTAAAGTGAATTTGGACAAGTGCTAGGGGGATTTGTGTTAAGTATTATTCGGGATTCAGCAGAGGAGGGTTCGGCATCCTCATGTACATGTTCCCTACTGCCACCTTCAGCATTCACACGGGGAGATAGGATCAAACATAGCACACATCAAAGAGAAGGGAACACTTTATCTACCACACACTTTCTTAACTAATCCCTGAACAGAACATACGGACCATGAATTAAATCATGTGAATCACACATTTCCTTTCAAAAGACATCAAAGAAATTGAAGACAATACCCTTGAAATCAACATTAAAGAAACATGAAAAATTTCAAGAATTAAAACAACTTCAATCCATGGGATAGCAATTTCTTTTTCAATAAGTCATAGAGATGGTGCTTCTTCCTTTTCAAGAGTCAAAATCCCTCCTCAGTTCCTCACTAAGGGTATGACCTTGTTAATTCTGCATGTGAACCCTGACCTCTTGACCCTGGTGTATGAATACAGTGGAGGGGGCACTGGGCTACAGGACAGTGGGGATTAACTAAGTGTGATCTTCTTTCAGGAAATAGATCCTCTGTAAAAAGGGGATCAGTTTATGGAGTTGAATGGGTGGGTGATAACGGATACTTGGAGGTTCTCCTGATGCTCAGCTACTTGAAGTAATGATACTACTTTGGTGTCCTTCACAGGTTTAACCATAGCCACAATCAGATGACAGGTCTTAGCTCTGTGCGGAGTTCTGTGAAGAAACATTGAATAGACTTTCTGTGGTGTTCAGAAGCATTCAACTTTAAAATTGAACTTAAAATTTAGACCACCTTGCTAACATTAAAAATGAAGAAAATCTACATTTGAAAATAGTTCTTTGT